AGGAGGAGGAGCAGGAGGAGAAGGAGGAGGAGGAGGAGGCAACTGACATAAAATCTAACAACCCTCACCTGGCAGGTGGGGAATAATTTATATATATATACACATTAAACACACACACACACATATATATATATATACACACACATCCATTTCTCTCTCTCTCTCTCTTCCAGGTTTTCTGGCAACATGCAACATGTGCTGTGGAGGCATCAGGTTTGGAGAGCCAGGCATGTGACTAAAACATGAGGCCGGGGATGAGGAGGACCAAAGGACGGAGGACCAGAGACTACAGGACCGGAGGACCTAAAGAGGGCCAAAGGCCAAAGCGCTGCACTGCTGAAGAATTCTTCGATGGACATGCTCAAACTATCTGAAGAAAGCACGAAAAGAAAAAACCAAGCGCAAACATCTCTTGGCAAACTGTTCAAACATATGTAAATATGCTCAAATCACTTCGAACCAAAGCAACCTCGACATTTTCAGAGCAAAAGTGAAATAGTCCTTTCATCGCGGGTTCTCAAAACTGAGGTGGCGACGGGCATGTCTACAGGCAATTCTGCTCCATCCAAAGCATCGCCGCACTCACCGCAAATAAGATGCTCCTGTGGTACAGGTGAGGAGAAATCACAATCTTCAAACGTGCGCGCATGTGGCTGCAAGGGAAACAACAGCTTGTCGATGCAGGTCACCCACCCTCTACAGTCACCTGCCGCTAATTACGGCAAGCAACGGCCCGAAAAATGATCCCAAATTCTCAGTCACCCCAGGTCAATAAATCGAACAGATTGTCCAATACAATCCCATACATCTCCGTGCAAACATATAAACAATGCCAGAAAACAGCCACAACAAGGCGCAGCAGCAGTCGCAGTCACTTTGCAGTCTATCACGGCACGCTGCCCCTCTAGTCCTCTAATGCTGCGGTTAAACGAGACCTTTCAAGGTTCGGCTTCATGTACCTGCGCGTCCAGGAGCTCTATCCAGAAAATTCCTTGCAAATATGGCAAATAATTGCTTCAATTTTCAGACGCCGGTCCCTTGGCCCTGGTTCTTATTTTCTTTGCACGCCTGTTCCAATGTATGAATGCATGTATGTATGTATGCATGCATTCATGTATGTATGCATGTGTCTGTCTGTCTGTCTGTCCGTCTGTCTGTGTCTGTCTGTGCCTGTCTGTGTCTGTCTGTGTCTGTGTCTGTCTGTGTCTGCCTGTCTGTGTCTGTGTGTGTGTCTCTGTGTGTGTGTCTCTGTGTGTGTGTGTCTCTGTGTGTGTGTCTGTGTGTGTGCGCGTCTGTGTGTGTGTGTGCGCGTCTGTGTGTGTGCGTATACCGTTATAGCAAACGGTTTAGTTTTGATGAATCGATCATGTTTCAATGAAGCAGGGGGACCATCCATGTGCTGTGTGCGATGGTGCAACGAAGCGGCCACAGTACATGCGGATATCACGGCTGATCACCGTGACGTACCTGCCTTCGATTGAAATGTATTGAACTGTTGAACAAGCTGTTCTATTCAGGCTGTTTAGGTACTTTTCGACAGTTTGAAATTTGAAATTTTGATTTTTCCAGAAGTCACCGCTTCGAATGTGACGTTCTCAACCTGCTTGCGATGACAGGTAACTCAGGACATCAGGCGACGACGGTGACATCATTCACAATTTCCACTAACCATTACCCCACAGTGTGTCATGGGTGTTGGACCTGACTTGGTCGCACCGTCGGTTGGTTTCGACCAATCAGAAAGTCATGAGCGGGCATTTTCCCGTATTCAGAGTGGAGAATGAATCTCCGAAGCCGTATGCACTCAGAGTGCATTTCAAGTGTCATATGAAGAAGTCAAGATTTTACACAGTAAAATCAAATCGAAGCAGCCATAAGGCGAAGAAGCCATAAGGCAGAAGTTCGTCCAATTCGGACAAAGAAGACATAAGTCGAAGTTACCAACACTACGAGCGCAGCGAACCTTTATTTGGTCGGAGTCTCAATGGCATTGTCACTGTTTTGAACCACCTTTTTGATAGTTTTGGGGATTCGAGCCATGTTTCCTAAGAGTCGTGGTCCACCCCTGCCATCCTCTGAAGCCTTTTCTACTGGACAGATCCCAGTTCAATCTACACCTTTGCCTCCTCCTCCTTCTCGTCATCCTGTTGCAAATGTTCAGAATACTCAAGAGAGGGGATCATCATCGGTTCCAAAAACATCGGGAGTTTCGCTGAACATTGTTGGACGACTTGGACAATATCGCATAGAAGCTACTACGGCTGATCAGTTAGCTTCTATTATGGGTCAGATTTTCGATGCTGAACGACAGGCTGAAATGCAACAAAACATGTGGAATTTTCAACCCCCTGTGAATTAAGGGGATGGGGTTGCGCAACCATTTTGTAGTGAAGAAACGGTTTGCATAGCCTCAAGCTCTACTAAATGGATTGGATGTGCATGCATGATCGAATTTCACTACTAAATGTGGGCCCCTGGTTCAGCTGAAGTACGAAATTTGGATATATTTTCAGAATGTCTTAAGACACCACCATGACTCGACCAAACACCCTGTTCCATTTAGTAGAGGTACTCATTTGACCGCAAGTTGGGGGCCAAACATGACTCGACCAAAACCCCAAAGCCATTTAGTAGAGAAATGCACGGGGTCCATTTAGTAGAGAAAACAAGGATTTAGCCCTATTTATATTTATGGATCAATTGGGTGAATCATGCATGATGAGGATTGGTCGCTTGATGAGCGGTTTCCCTTGGGCCGCAGACTTCCTTACCATGAGCAGCCCCGTCTGGGGGGGTGTGATAAGAGCGGAAAAGATTACAGACCCCATCACCATCACTACAGAATGGTTTTGCATAGCCTTTTGTGGAATTAACTGGTTAGTTAGTACCCAAAGATACCCATAGGAATCCATAAACAACTGTTGTAGACTGTGGTTCATTTGGATCCTCTTGGATCCTTTTGGGTCAAGCTGAAAACATTTGGCTCGCGTCATTGTTTTCAATGTTTTTCTATGTTTTTCCTAGTCTGGAGTTCTTTGGGCTGTGGTTTTCCATTTAGTATAGGGAGGCTAGTCAAAAGACCTGTCATATCCATTCATATTCTTTTCTTTGGATTTCCTTGATTTTCATTGGTTTAAAGCGTCTGTGTGTGAAAGCTTGTGTGTAAAAGCCTCTGTGCGTGAAAAGTGTTTGTGTGTAAAAGCGTCTGTGTGTAAAAGCGTCTGTGTGTAAAAGCTTCTGTGTGTGTGAAAGTTCCTGTGTGTAAAAGCCTCTGTGTGTGAAAGTGTTTGTGTAAAAGCGTCTGTGTGTAAAAGCGTCTGTGTGTAAAAAGCCTCTGTGTGTGAAAGTGTTTGTGTGTAAAAGTGTTTGTGTGTAAAAGCGTCTGTGTGTAAAAGTCTCTGTGTAAGCGTCTGTGTGTACAAGCTTCTGTGTGTAAAAGCGTCTGTGTGTAAAGGAGTCTCTGTGTAAAAGCTTCTGTGTGTAAAAGCGTCCGTGTGTAAAAGTCTCTGTGAAAGCGTCTGTGTGTAAAAGCCTCTGTGTGTGAAAGTGTGTGTGTAAAAGAAAAGCGTGTGTGTGTGTGTAAAAGCTTCTGTGGGTAAAAGTGTCTGTGTGTAAAAGCGTCTGTGTGTAAAAGCGTCTGTGTGTAAAAGCTTCTGTGTGTAAAAGTGTCTGTGTGAAAAAACGTTTGTGTGTGAAAGCGTGTGCGTGTGTGTAAAAGCATCTGCGTGTAAAAGCGTCTGTGTGTAAAAGCGTCTGCGTGTAAAAGTGTCTGCGTGTAAAAGTGTCTGTGTGTAAAGGCGTCTGTGTGTAAAGCCTATGTGTGTAAAAGTGTCTAGCGTCTGTGTGTAAAAGCCTATGTGTGTAAAAGTGTCTAGTGTCTGTGTGTAAAACCTCTCTGTGTAAACGCTTCTGTGTGTAAAAGCGTCTGTGTGTAAACGCTTCTGTGTGTAAAAGCGTCTGTGCGTAAATGCGTCTGTGTGTAACAGCTTCTGTGCAAAAGCGTCTGTGTGTAAAAGGTTCTGTGTGTGAACTGTGTGTGAAAAACAATACGAAAGATACGATGCAAACTAGCGTTTTGTACTTGTAATATATTGTCTTGATACTACTTGCCTCGTCTGCCTATAGTACATCTTTAATAAATTGTCTTGTAATATAATAATATAGTGTCTCAATACTAACAACAGAAGACCCTGCTCTCTCTCTCTCTCTCCCTCTTTCTCTGTCTCCCTCTCTCTCTCTCTCTCTCGCGCTCTCTCTCTCTCTCCCTTTCTCTCTATCTATGTCTCTCTGTGGTTGCAAGATATGTGTCATATGATGCCCTTTACCAAGCAGCACAGTGCATATGCATGGGTTGTCACAATGTTCCTCTTCTTAATCAATCTTACTTTTCACAACTTATCCCTCCATAGCTCATATGAAATTCACCAACCATTCACCGACTATTTTTTACAACTACCATACTCAGAGCTGCTTGAAAAACGTCTTTTTCGCTCTCGGGCCAACCATCGTCTAGTTTTGTAAGGTTTGTAGTACGAAGTAGTACTGGGAAGTACTTTGTGCAAGCTTTGTAGTATGAAGTAGTACTGAGAAGTACGTTGTGCAAGCTTTGTAGTACAAAATTAGTACAGGGAATTGCTTTTGGCGAGTTTTGTAGTACGAAGTAGTATTGCGAAGCGATTTTTGCGAGCTTTGTAGTGCGAAGTAGTACTGGGAAGTACTTTGTGCAAGCTTTGTAGTACGAAGTAGTACTGGGAAGTGTTTTGCGAGCTTTGTGGTACGAAGTAGTACTGGGAAGTACTTAGTGCAAGTTTTGTAGTACAAAGTAGTACTGGGAAGTACTTTGTGCAAGCTTTGTAGTACGAAGTAGTACTGGTAAGTACTTTGTAAAAGCTGTGTACAACGGAGTAGTACTGGGAAGTGCTTTGTGCAAGCTTTGTAGTACGAAGTAGTACTGGGAAGTGTTTTGCGAGCTTTGTGGTACGAAGTAGTACTGGGAAGTACTTTGTGCAAGTTTCGTAGTACAAAGTAGTACTGGGAAGATCTGGGAAGTACTTTGTGCAAGCTTTGTAGTACGAAGTAGTACTGGTAAGTACTTTGTAAAAGCTGTGTACAACGGAGTAGTACTGGGAAGTGCTTTGTGCAAGCTTTGTAGTACGAAGTAGTACTGGGAAGTGTTTTGCGAGCTTTGTGGTACGAAGTAGTACTGGGAAGTACTTTGTGCAA